GTTTTAATGTTAAGCAAAATTGTTAAATAAAACAAATAAAATAACAAAATAAAAAAATGCATTCTAAGAAAATAAGCCTTAAATAAAGCATAATTTGAAACTAGGTAAAATTGTAGATAAATAATGTATAAAATGATTTGTTCAGACGATGAGTGAAAGTTTTATGGTGTTGTACCTGCTCCTCTTTAAAGGCACTGAGCAGGGCATTGGTATCAGTCACGCTCAGCGGGAAGGAGAGACGAGGGCCGCTGTACGACTCCGGCACCATAATCTGCTCGTACTTCAGCTGCCTGACCTCCTCCGTCAGAGGATCAACCACAGAGTCCAGCAGGTGGGAGATCAAGTCTGGGGCAAAGAAAACAAGATGGCTGTGGTGACTATGAGGGAAGACAAAGCAGAATCAAACAGGCCTATACTATAACAAGTGTGATGTGCAACTCAACGGTTCTGGAATGATAGAGTAAATAAATGACAAAATTGGACTGCGGAAGGAGGGATAAACAAATCATCTCTGACAGTCAAATCAGATATTTAAAATAAATTTTAAAAGGCTTAAAAATATGACTTGTCTTCATTTATTCATTAATTCATTTTCCTTTGGCTCAGTTCTTAATTTATCAGGGATCACTACAGCGGAATGAACCACCAACTATTGCATATGTTTTACGGAGCTGATGCCCTTCCAGTACTGGGAAACACCCATACACTCTCACATTCACACACACACTCAAACACTAGGGCCAATTTTGTTTAGCTAATTCAATTAAAGCGCATGTCTTTGGACTGTGGGGGAAATTGGAGCACCCAGAAAACCAAAAAGAACATGGGGAGAGAGCATGCAAACTCCACACAGAAATGCCAACTGACCCAGCCGGGACTTAAATCAGCGACCTTCTAGCTGTGAGGTGACAATTTTGGTTGGCAGTAAGAATGTAAATTTACAAGCGAACTATAAATAAATAATGATAACTGTGCTGTGTTGTGTTGTACTGTACATTACAATTGGTATTATTAATTTACAGTGTGCTTGTAAATTCAGTTTTACTGGCAACCAAAATTCCCATTAAGTTACTGTTAATTTTTTGTACATTTTTTGTAAACTTTTTTGTACAGATTAAAAAAAGATGATATTTCGCTCTGTAATTCATAAAATTGCAACAAAATTACTAAAATTGCCAGTAACTAATTTTTTTATGGTGTTCAAAGTGATAAAAAGATATAACATTATTTCTCCATTCAGTATGTGATGAGAGTTGGTCGGCCCAATTTCTTAATGTAATGTGTTAATAGTTTTTGTGGTATACTTGCGCACATTTGAAACATTGTTTTTTGTGACCGGTGTTACATAAAAAAGTGATACATTACAATGTTAAGCCTATCATCAGAAAAAAACAACATACAGCAAGGAAAATAAGTATTGAACACGTCATGTTTTTTCCTGGGAATAATATTTTTAATGGAGCTGTTGACATGGAACTGAACCAAATTTTGGTTAAAAACTCAAAAAATACAAACATGAAAATAAAACAAAACCAAAAAATCTGAAAATGAGTTTGTGTAATGATGAAATGACACAGGGAGTAAGTACTGAACTACTAAAATCTATTTAATACTATATATAAAAAAAGGCTTTTTTGGTGATGCAGCTTAAAGACACCTCTTATATGAAGAATAAAATCACGTGCATTGCTCAGGTATGAGTTTTTCCAGACTTCAACAGAGTGTAAAAATCTTGATGGTTCTGTGGGTCTCGTCTATCAAATCTGGTCTTTATTTTGTATTGTCTATTGGATTCAAGTCAGGTGGTTGGTTAGGCCATTCTACAGCTTGATTTTCTTTCTCTGAAAGCATTTAAGAGTTTCCTTGGCTGTTTTGGATCAATTGTGTTGCTGAAATGTCCACTCTGGTTTCATCTTCATCATCCTGGTAATGTAGATGTTGCACTGAAGCAGCTTATTAATTTACAATGATAAAGAGCAGAGGCTTGCTGAATAACTATTGAGAGATTTCAGCTGCTGTCTGGGCTTTCACTGCCTTTTTACACCTCCCTTTCTTCATGTGTTCATTACTTTTCCCTGTGTCATTTCATTTAATCCTGCATAAATTAATTTGTAAACTAATTCGATTTGTTTTCTTTGCATATATACGGATTTCTAATTGTTACCAACATCTGGGGGAAATTTCAAGTCAACTGCTCCTTTAGAAATATGTTTTCTGAGAAAAATGCTGACGTGTTCAATACTTATTTTTCCTGCTTTAACACATACATTTCACATTACTTTCATTTAAAAAGTAACACATTCAATTACTTTTTTAAGGTGACTTAAGATTGTTATAAATTACTTTTTCCAAAGAGAAGATATTTTTTTTTAAGTCTGGATACTATAAATAAAGCTGGAACTCCGGATTCAGGGAAATCGGGTTGACTGGTCACCCTAAATGTGAGAGCACTCTCCATTATAATCTCTCAGCCTGATAAAATGATGTAAATGTGAATCATGAAACACTCAGAACATCAAAGGTTTGTGCTATTGTCCATCAGAGCTGGACACGTGGCAATGCAGGCAAACAAGTAATATCGGTTTCAGTTTTCAGTTAATAAATAAATGCTTAATTCTCAACCTGGGGTCTTTTATGAAAGGCCTTTTTTGATTGCCCATCAAAAATACCCAACACACACCTCTATAGCACAATGTGCCATACTTCAATTTGCATAGCGTCTGGCCCTGCACAGGGATTTGAGAGTGCTGACCCATTGTGTCATTCTTCAAAATGTAAATTTGCAGTGTTTCCCATAAATTTATGCAGAGAGAGCTGAATTTCAGGAACAGATGTTTGTATTGAGGTGAGCGCAAATGCAACATTTTTTTTTTTTGTCTTGATTTAGCCGACACCTACAGGACATAATTTCCTGCTTCCTTAGTCGCCAATAAAAGAAGCAATTTTAGCTGTACTATAAACTAAAACTTGATTAAATGAGAAAAAGATTGAGCATCAATTTGAAATTTCATTTATCTTGATGTATTTTCTGGGGTTGTGTGTGTGTGTGTGTGATTGTAATTTAATTTTGTTTATGGGGAGGGATTGGGAATAATATTTCTGTAAATGTATTTCTGTCCTGCTATTTATGTAAGTTTAATAAACAGATTTTAAAAATGACAAAATTGATTTAAGTTTACATAATAAGTAAAGCAACATACCTAATATTTTAATAATAATAATAACACCTTTGTAATAAACTTACAATAAATAACCTTTGTAAAATTAAAATGCCAAAATATGAATGAAATAATGTTCCAACATCATTCAGTTTCACCAATCAGGGTTTGTTTTAGCAGGTTTTTTCAAGTCAAGACCTTTTAAGACCATCATGAATTGAGACTTATAAAGAGCTAAACACTAAAGATTTCTTCTAATGGCCAGGTTGTCCAGGTTGTCCCTACCGCAACAGCAAAAAAAATTAATTTAGTTATTTCTTAGCCACATATTTTAATGTCAAAACAAGAAAATAGCTGAATATAGTTTTTTAGAACAAAATGTGTTTTTTAATTCAAGTTTAACATTGTTAAAAAAAATTCTTATTATATATTTCTTAGATTACATAAATGATCAAAAATATATATTAAATGTCTTTTTGTCTGAATGGGTTTAGTATAATTCCTATTCAACATAATGCTTTCTGTTATAAAACCTTGCCTATTCCATGTTTGTTTATAAATATTGTGTACGCTCCCCATTACTTCAGTAAATTGGACTTTAAGGCCTAAAATTTTGCTCTTGAAAAAAAATAACTTAAAACTATTTAAGACTCCGCGGACACCCTGACAGACACTACATATTTAACAATAAAAAAGTAAAATATTTTTCCAATGAAAAACAACAACAATATAGGTGAAAATTTAGGTGAAAAAAAATGCAAATGTACTACTATTCAAACATTGTGGTACTTTTTGTATTAAGGAAGGACGCATTAAACAATAATTAATTTATTTCGATTCACTATAGCTGTGACTGAAGATGTTCAATGTTTAGGATAAACTTTAAAGCAGTATAACAATAATATACCTCATAATTGCCAACATTCTAAGACACTACAGAGCCACAGAAACAAGAAGCTAAGTCTAAAAACCATCCAATCCAAACCTAAGACACATGATTACCTGACAAGACCAGTCATGTGCATTTGTGGCCCACGCAATGGGAACTGATTAAACAAGGCTTTTCCCTAGTGAAATCACAGGCTGATGAAATGAACCTCAATGTGAAGAATAGAAAGCAGTGAAAGCATCGTTCGTTGGGTGAAACAGTTGAATATTTGTGTTTGGTTCTTTACCAGTATAAGAACGTTCTATGCTCAGTTTCTCTCTGCTGCATCTCATTTAGGATCAGCTCTTCTACTTGACTAAAGATGGGACTAATTGTCTTCTGCATTTTGGACATCTGCCTTTGGAGGCTGGTTGCTGCATTTCTGGCTCTCTCTGCATTACCACCACTCAAAATGGGATCTCCCAAGGTTGCTAAGCAACTGGGTCTCCATATAGTGTTTTTTGGGATCACTGAAAGGATAGGTGCAACACTCCAGAGGGAGACCAAATGATGCAAAAAATAAATAAATAAATAAAAATAAAATAAATCACATGTACTGGGGCTTTCCAAAAGTATGCTGGGGGACTGCTAGATTTAGAGAATAATAAAAGAAAAATCAATGAGTAAAATGCTATTTAAAGTACAAATCCCAAACAGCCTGACAAACCATTAATTCATTTTCTTTTCGGTTTCTTCTCTTTAGAAATCTGGGGTCGCCACAGCAGAATTAACCGCCAACTAATTCAGCATATGTTTTATGCAGCGGATGCCCTTCCAGCTGCAACCCATCTCTGGGAAACATCCATACACACTCATTCACACTCATACACTACGGACAACTTAGCCTACCCAATTCACCTGTACCACATGTCTTCGGACTGTGGGGGAATGTGGAGCGAGAACATGCAAACTCCACACAGAAATGCAAACTGACCCAGCCAAGGCTTGAACCAGCAACCTTCTTGTTGTGAGGCGACAGCACTACCTACTGCATCACCATTGACAAACCTGCATGATTCAAAATATTTTAGACCGATTATTAGGCCATCCACTTACAAATGGGAGCTTTTTAATAGTTTAAAATAGTTATAATTACCCATGTAAATATTACTACTTAAGTTTAAAAAATAGGTCTGTGTAAAATGTGAATATTAATCAAACACAAACTGGGGCTTTCAAACATTAAACAATGTTTAATACAACTTTAAATAGTTTTTCCTCATACATTACAATGTATGCTTTAATAAATTAAGCAAGATAAAACCATCCCACAAGTCCAAAGACATGCGCTATATGAATCGGGTAAGCTAGATTGTTCGTACTGTACTGTATGTCTGTAAATGAGTGTGTATGGATGTTTCCCAGTGATTGGTTGATGGCAGAAAGGCATCTGCTGCGTAAAATATATGCTGGATAAGTTGGCGGTTCATTCCGCTGTGGCGACCCTAGTTTAATAAAGGGAATAAGCCAAAAAGAAAATTAATGATATTTTAATGTGTCTTTGTAAATCTTGGTAAAATAGATAGAGGTTTTCATTCCTTCATTCATTTAACATGAGTAGAACATGCAAACTCCACACAGAAATGCCAACTGACCCAGCCAAGGCTCGAACTAGCAACCTTCTTGCTGTGAAGCAACCATGCTACCCACTGTGCCACCGTGACACCCCTTAAAATATCATTCAGTGTAAAAAGAGTTTATATACCAAAGGAAAGGTCATGCATATTTAAAATTATAAACAAAAATATGATTTAACACCACAATAAATGACTGTATATAAGGATCACAAATAAAATATTTTTATCTATAAACTATAGTCTAAAAACTTTGCCACTGTCCATTAGACCACTAGATTTTAGAAATACATTTTAGTAATTTAAAATGTCAAAAAAATGATCAGTATGATGATTAATATGATGTGTTGTTGGGAGAAGTACATTGTTGAGGTTTCTTTTTACACAAACATGTTGGCGATGAAGAAAATTAGAATGATTTAATTTCCAAAAAATGTATTTGAAATGAATGCACTCGCATTTAATACGCTTTCTATGAAAAAAACAACAACATTTCTGTAAATTTCATTAACCACCAAAATGTCTTTGATCCATTGAGAAAACAAAACATTTTATTACCTGGTCCATTCCCATTAATCTGAGTGAAGTTGTCCAACATGAAAGTGAAGAAACTTGAGAGCTAGAAAGGAAACATTTGCAAACTAATGTTAAATATGAACCATCCAATCAAAGCAGCAATTTAAAAATCACAACAGAGTGCATTCCAAAAACAACAGAATGACATAATGTTTTTCATTTACTGTACCTGTAGCTGGTCCTGTTCTCCTGCATACTCAATGGACTGAAAGATGTTCCACGTGTAGCGTCTTCGCATCTCCAGGTGAGCAACATAGCGTCTGTACCAACGCTGGATCAGTATGGCAGCTTTTATGGCTAAATATGTTAAGAAGAACACACAAAGAATGAAAAAAGTACTGTAAATGATACTCGTGGACCACAGGTTTAAAACTAAAAGTATTTGGGAAGTACAGGTATTTTTTTTTATTATAAATACTGTACTTGTAGCTGAATGGTGCCTTCAAATAGGGGAAAATTACTACATCATGACTACAGTACATGCAAATAAAGACATTTCCCAATGAAAAAAGCAGCAATATGTTCAAATATGCAGTAAGTATGAATCAAGATTAGGGAAGAGTACATACATCCAGTGAGATTCAGAAAAATATGCAAATATTAACATCATAAGGCCATGGCTGGCATCTGATTAAAAAAGCTATACATTTATTTTTACATTTTTGTGTATGTGTCCAAGATGATTACACACTAAAACTTTTTTTGCATTTTTGAAAGGTTTTCTGTACAAATGTCAATGTTGTAAAAACAATCTTCGTTTACAATGAGTAAAAAGACTTTTATTTTATTTTTTTATGTGTATATGTACCCTCAATTGAGCTCTTTTTAAAATGCACGCCACATATAGAATTCTAATATATCCCAATATACGCAAATTACATATATTACATACAAATTTAAATCTGGATGTCACATATATAAAATGTCATATGGAACACATACACTCATCGGCAACTTTATTAGGTGCACCTGTTAATGCAAATTTCTAATCAGCAACTTAATGCATTAAGAGATGTAGACATGGTCAAGATAATCTGTTGCAGTTCATATGACCATCCAAATGGGACTGAAAGGTGATTTAAGTGACTTTGAACAGTGGCATGGTTGTTGCTGCCAGACGGGCTTGTCTGAGTATTTCAGAAACTGTTGATCTACTGGAATTTTTACGCACAACCATCTCTAGGCTTTACAGACAATGGTCTGAAAAAGAGAAAATATCCACTGAGTGGCAGTTCTGTAGGTGCAAATGCCTTGTTGATGCCAGCGGTCAAAGACAAATGGCCATACTGGTTCCAGCTGATAAGAAGGCAATAGTAACTCAAATAACCCCTCATTACAACCGAGGTATGCAGATGTGCATCTCTGAATGCACAACACGTCAAGCCTTGAGGCAGATGATTTACAACAGTAGAAGACCACACTGAGGGCCACTCCTGTCAGCTAAAAACAGGGAACTGAGGCTACAATTTGACCAGACTCGCCAAAATTGAACAATAGAAGACTGGAAAAACATTGCTTGGCCTGATGAGTCAACATTCGGATGGTAGAGTCAGAATTTGGCGTCAACAACATGAAAGCGTGAATCCATCCTGCTTTGTATCAATGGTTCAGACTGGTGGTGGTGGTGGTGTCATGGGATATTTTCCTCGCACACGTTGTGCCCATTAGTACCAATTGAACATTGTGTCGACGCCGCAGCCTACCTGAGTATTGTTGTTGACCATGTCCATCCCTTTATGACCACAGTGTACCCATCTTCTGATGGCTACTTCCAGCAAGATAATATGCCATGTTATAAAACACGAATCATCTTAGACTGGATTCTTGAACAAGACAATGAGTTCACTGTACTCAAATGGAAGTCTGGAGCCACAGTCACCAGACTTCACTCCAATAGAGCACCTTTGAGATGTGGTGGAATGAGAGATTTGCATCATGGATGTGCAGCTGGCAAATTTGCAGCAACTGTGTGATGCTATCAAGTCAATTTGGACCAAAATCTCTGAGGAATATTTCCAGTACCTTGTTGAATCTATGCCACGAAGGATTAAGGCAGTTCTGAAGGCAAAGAAGGGTTCAACCTGGTATTGGTAAGGTGTACCTAATAAAGTGGCCGGTGATTGTATTCCAAAATATTGCAAAAATGGCTGCTTAATTATATACATTTTTCAAACATTGGAATTAGAATTATATACATCAATGCTCAAATATATTAGCTACAATTTTATAGATGTGATTATATAAATTTCATTTCAAGACACAAGCAACTCTTTTTAAAATATATGGTTCCTGATTCTCATTGTCGCATCAGGCCCGTGTTACCATGCTAACGTCATGCCTTAACGCACATATGACTCATGGTACAGAGACACTTGCATCTTTTCTCGAGCACTTGAGTACAAAAATGGTGCCAAATATAACCGTGTCTCAGGGGGTCTATATCACAGGTGCTAATTAAAGAAGTGCAGGGAGCAGTTAAGGAGAAAGAACACAACACAAACATTAGAGACAAGGCTTTTCTCGAGAGTATACACACCCATAAATAAAATCTGAGCTGTGTTTGAGAATGATGGGATTACTGCTTGTATATTGAACCAATTCATAATGATATTCATAATTAAGAATAAATAATTCAAATACACAGAGAAAAAAACATTTCATGGATTTGAGAAAAGTCATGGAGGTTGGTGCTTTAAGTCACAATATATGGCAAACAATTAAGGTTTGCACTTTTGAGAGTACATTTCTACATTGGTGAAATTGTGCTACTTCTCTATAGCCACAAATGGGACACAGACAGCAATGACAGATGCTGAAGAAAATGCCTTACTCAGAGCTGGGTTGGACTGCTTGATGGAGCCATCTGTGTGAGAGGTGATTAAATTAAATTGAATAATTTGAGTAAAACCTTGAGGGTGGGGTGAAAACAGAAAAAAAGGACAGAACTGGAGACTAAATGCATATTTTTCAACAAATTAATAATGCAAACTTGTGGAATCCAGGGTTGTTGCAAATGCAAGAGAAACAAGAGGTTATGCTACTGTGTGTTACAAAATTGGGGATATTATTTTTTATTTTACCTGTTTCTGAGGGTCGTGTTTGGTTCTCAATGGCAATGGATGTGCCGCATCCCATGATCCTACCGCTTGCCTGTAGTCATGAATCTCCCAAATTTTAGGGATTCTCTTTATCACTTGGTATCCAGAAATGCTTGTGCAAAGAAACAACACAGGAGAAGAGCTTAAACGTTATCACAAACTTTTATAATTCTGGATATTTGGTTAAAATATGAAACCGAAAAATACATTTTACTTGTACACAACTATGCATACTGAAAAACTGCATTATTGTGGCTTTTGTTACCACTATAAACAAACAGACCTAATATGTATATTCTGTGAGGTTAATTCATAAAACCTCATAAATGATATGAGATATTTTTCAGAAAATAGCTATAGAAAAAAGCAATACAGTGTGGAATTAATTCAGCATCACAATAATGTGTCCCTGAGGAATAAAGCAACAAAAGATACTTACTGCAAATCATGCTGGACTTTAATCTGTGCCTCTAAAGAGCCTTTCAAAAGGCCCTTTTAACAGTGATCAATCTCTGAGGTGGCACAAAGAGAGATAGAGACTGTTGACTGTCATATTCACAGTTACAAATATAATAGTGAGAACATAGACAAAAACAACGTTTATTTATGTCTTAAATATGTTGACCGAACTTCTCAACCTATATATCCAAAGAGGTTTAATATTTTAAGTCATGATAAACGGGTAAAATCTATATACAAAACGATAAATTGCAGAAGAAAACAAGTGTTGTGCCGAGAAACGCACCACTGCTGTAACATATATGCCGTATAGCATATATTAACTTAATTAATAATACATAGTAATAATAGAGTTGACAACTAGTAAGGTGAATTTATGAATGGACCCCATCCCTTACAGAAGACGCTCGCACAATCACAAACGACAAACAAACAAAACACACAACGCACAGCACACGAAAAGCACAAGTTACCTTTCTGTTGTCCATCACTCACCACGACACGCGACTCCGTGAAGAAATTAGTGTTGGACAAAACCCAGAGCACAAAACATCTAGCACGTATTTCCAAATGTGGAGGAGTGCGAACATAAACGCCACAGATGTCAGATGAGGTAAAGCTTTCAGTTCAAAGCACAGTCTGCCTGATTTGTGAGCACAGCACCTGCCTCACCGACTCGTGAGTCTGAGAAAGGTTTGTTTGATTCAATGACTCGAGTCTTTCGGATTCGTTTGGTGAAACGATTCGTTCAGCGGTTCAGCTGTTGATCATTTGAGCATCTACTCCACTCATTGATCTACACCCATAGGAGGCGATAAGTGAGTGGCGTTTTGAGTAGATTACACCTTTCATTTTTAAATAGATATTGCTCAATTAGAATGTGCCTGTCAAATGTTTATATTAAAAGTCTTCTTACCCTTAATTGAAACTTAAAAAAAACTTTTACTTCGCTCTCCACACTGCAACTCCTTGAAAAACAGGCTTTTATTAAAAAAAAAAAAAAAAAAAAAAAAAAACTTTTGTCGTTTATAATGTAAAAAATTCCTTTCGCTCAAATAAACTTAGTGTTTAATAAGATCGATTACAAGAAAATGTCCAGACAGAGCTTGCTTCGCCTGAGGGGGAAATTAAACTAGCATGCTTCAGGAAAAGAAACGAGTTAAGCAAAATGGCTTTATTACAACAAATAAATAATAACATCCATTTAAAATTAATTTAATACACTTTAAAACGTGGTTTAAAAACGCCAGACTCAAGCTCCAGCCAGTGCAGCTGTATTCCCGCGGCGGCTTCTTAGCTGGCTCCATGCCTCCAGGATCTCCCTCTGCGTAACGCTCCTGTGGCGGCTGAAGTAGGAGAGCCGCGCGGCCTCAGACCCCACTCTTTGCAGCAAATATCTGCTCACACCCCTGGGCTCATGGACGCGCCTTTCTGCCGTCGGACTCATCTGTGCATTTAGTTCAGTTGTTAATATAAACATAGGGATACTTTTTAATACTCCCTTTCACTTGTGGACGGAAAACACACCTGTTGTCTGGCCGTGTAGATGAATGAGGCGTGTTCTCTGTTTTTTGAAATGCAGCTTCGAGATGCCGTGCAGCGCTTGCCTTTAAGACCAGGAGCTTTCATGATGGACAGAAAAGTGAGGAAACAACTGCTACTGCACTGAAACTACAATTTATAGCACATGCAATCAATTCACCGAATGATCAACAAGCAGGTGCATGACTTAAATTGATTTGGAGCGCATGCGCACTTGCTTAGACCAGTAGCCTAATTTATTAATCCAGTGTACATATTTACGTTTATCTTAAGCACTTTCAGTCTTAAATCTTTCTGCAAACTTTCTCAACATTTGCCAGAATCATTCCATCTGAATAGTTATGCATATAAATTATTTGTCACTATAATTGTGGATCTGTGGTTTTCAGTATAATATTATTATTAAACTTCATTTTGTCAGTTTTATAATAATTTCACTTTTCCTTAAGCTTTATTTTAGTTTTAGTTTAGTAGTTAGAACTGAAGGTCTTTAGCAACTAGCTAAAAATAAATGTTCATAACTATTTATTTATTAATTTATGGATATATGTATTAACCAGCTCCAATAAAATGTCATTCATTCATTAATTTTCTTTTCGGCTTAGTCCCTTTATTAATCTGGGGTCGCCACAGCGGAATGAACCGCCAAACCAGAGGAGAACATGCAAACCACACAGAAATGCCAACTGACCCTGCCAAGGCTCCAACCAGTGACCTTCTTGCTGTGAGGTGATTGTGCTACCCACTGCGCCACCGTGACACCCCTAATAAAATGTTTAAATAAAATATAAACATATTTTAATGTGGCAGTTCATTTCGCTGTGGCAACCCCAGATTAATAAAGGGACTGAGAAAGAAAACAAATAAACATATATTACTGTTATTATTATAATTTTTTTAATTATGCACATTTTTCTGTTGTCCAAATTACAGAGTGAAACTAGATCCAGGCTGAATAAATCTGAAAATACGGAGAAAGACTTCCTTTATTCAATTGTGTTGTTTCTCAGGTAAGCCACAAACACAGTTTAACAGTACAGGCTCATAATGAATATAAAAAGGAATCGGTCAGTGGGAATTACAAGCAAAAACAGTCACAAACCACAACAGAAAAACAGTAACACAACACTGAGTTCAACTCCAATGGATCTCCCTATTTCTATACCCGGATTGAATATCTGGTTTAACATTATGGCTTCAACATGCATTGGATGTAAACAAACCTGATTTGCCAAAGCAATACTTATTTTACTTTTAAAAAAAAAATGACATGAAAAAAAAAGCATGAAGTAATTTACTCATGACATAATCTAACAATAATTTCCATGAACTGAAGAAAAATATGTGAATAATCAAATAATCAACCAGTTAGACGCAGAACGTTAAATTAAACACATAAATAAAATTAAAAGCGATTGAAATCCATACCAGATGATACATAAAACAAGATTGGCTAGTGATATTCACTTTGGCATGTTGTGATAGAAATGAATGGATGGTGTACAGGAAATAGTTAGGAATGGCTTTGCTTATTAGCTAGCTCAGGTGCATTTATTCATGCAAAGCAGCAGCTCCAAGCGCATGGCGATGCGAGTGTGCCAGCCAAGAGGGAGGATACGGATGTAGCGCGCTACGATTGGTGGACGCAGCAGGTTCTGGACTGTGGAAGAGCGGTCAGAGTTCCCATAGAACACCTGAGGAAAAAAACAATTACAATAAGATACACCAATGCCAATTTCAGAGTGGGTCAGAGAGGAGCTGTCTCATCTTGCACATCAAATTAAATTTACAGGTGTTATGTAGAAAGTATTTTGAATGTATAGTCACTATTAACCCTTGAGTGTGTTCTTTATTCAATTCAATACACTAAAGAAGGTTTTCTAAAGAAAACTAAAACCTGTAACCATATTAGACTTCCATAGTAGAAAATACAAATTCTATGGAAGTCAATGATTACAACTTTCTTCAAAATATCTTGTCTGCTCAACAAGTAAAGGAAGTCAAACATGTTAGGAACAAGAAAATGGCCAGTATGATGTTTCAAATAATGTGAAGATAAAAATAATGTTGCAAATAATTTTGGTGGGCGACACTGTGATTCAGTAGTTAGCACTGTCACCTCAAGTGACAAGTTTGCTGGTTCGAGTCCCGGCTTGGTCAGTTGGCATTTTTGTGTGTTTAAAGATATGCGCTAAAGGTGAATTGAAAAAACTAAATTGGCCATAGTGTATGTGTGTGAATGAGTGTGTATGGGTTTTTCCCAGTACAGGGTTGCAGCTGGAAGGGCATCTGCTGTGTAAACATATGCTGAATGAGTTGGCGATTCATTTCCATAATAAATAAAGGTACTAAGTTGAAGGAAAATTAATGAATTAATAATTTTAGTGAAAATAACAACAGATCTATTTTTGTTGTGATGATGATGCCATTTCCCAGTGATGGTTGCGGCTGGAAGGGCATTCGCTGTGTAAAACATATGCTGGATAAGTTGGCGGTTCATTCCGCTGTGAAGATTTCAGATTAATTAAGGGACAAAGCCGAAAAGAAAATGAATGAATGATGATGCCAAGTTTTCCATAGTCATTTATAAGAGGAATAAACCGATATAGAAATGTGTATCTAGAAGCTGATATATTTGGAAACCGATACCAAATATATAAAAATTTAGCCCAATACTAACAGACAGTAATGCTTTATATAACCAGAAGCCTAAAAGTCGATAACCTACAGTATAACTAGTGGTTTTTCAAGACAGCCTATTTGTCTTCTTACCCTGTTGTTTCCAGTTTGGTCTTTGTAGTAGATCCAGTTGAGATTGTCATTAATGCGGTACTGCATAGTGTACTTGGTAACCCACTCATCAGAGTCACAGCGGCCCTGGGTCAGGATACCAGAAACCACTTTCACCTCCTTCAGGTCAATCTGAAGCCACTGGCTGGTGTCCTGGAACTTGGACAGCCAGGCACATCTAGGGGAAAAACCACAAATTCACAGATTCCATAGTCAAGATGGTTTTAATAACAGCAAAATAATTCAAACAGTTGTTCAAATGTTTTTAAAATCTGAAACATTCCTTCTTTTAAAAGTACACTGAAAATGTGATTTTTTTGGTTAACTCAACTAATTTATATTACACTTATATAGAGGAAGAAATACCTCTACCAAAAAAAAAAAATTACATTTAACGAAATATATAAATATATAAGGTGACACGGTGGTTTAGTGTTTAGCATCACAGCAAGAAGGTCGCTAGTTCGAGCCTCAGCTGGGTCAGTGGGCATTTCTGTGTGGAGTTTGTATGTTCTCCACATGTTGGTGTAGGTTTCCTCTGGGTGCTCCAGTTTCCCCCACTGTCCAAAGACATGCCCCATAGTTGAATTGAATAAACTAAATTAGCTTTAGTGTATGTGTATGAATGAGTGTGTATGGGTGTTTTCCAGTACTGGGTTGCAGCTGGAAGGGCATCTGCTGTTTAAACATTTGGTGGAAAAGTGCTGACACCTGATTATTAAAGGGACTAAGTCGAAGGAAAATGAATAAATGAATGAATAAATATATAATATTTATGCAATATAATAGAAACTCATATATGCTATATATTATACACTCACCCAAATCCTTGGCTATTTAGTCTTGCCCTGTTTGGCGTCCAGGAGGAGAACCAGCCTGTGTACTGGTCTTCATTAGAGCAGCTGATCTGATCTGAAGCCACAGATCCTGCCTCAAAACCCAGAGGTTTATGGTAGGGACACTCTGGATAGAAAATTTAAAAGATATACAGTATATAGGATTACATGACAACAATGTGTTTAAAACTTGCCAAACCAATTCGGCTCATTGAAAACTATTAAAATAACTGTACTATGCATGCCAGAACAGTAGATGGCGATGCTATTTTGTAAAGAAATACTACATTTTCGTACATTTCAACAAATTTCTGATTTATTAATACTGTACTTACACATGCCTACACACTAAGAGTGAGTAAAAACCTAATTTAGAATGTTTATTTAGCCAACACACATTAGCGATGTTTCCATCCACCTACTTTTACGCACATTCAGTATATGCACATAAAAATCAGTTGATTTGAATCGGCAAGATGCGTATAAAATTTAAAATTGCACATAAAAAAGCATATGTAATATGTATAACATAAATAAACTACACTGAAAAAACTTGTATTGAACAAATTGCAGTATGCACATTAATAAAACAGTCATGTGATTTTGTTATAAATGTGTGTGAATGGACAAACCAGCAGGCTGAGCATATTGTAAAACATCTGAAATGTTGTTTTGGTCATTCTAAAATGCTTAAAAACGTTTTAGTATTAGTGTTATTACTTATTAGCCCCAGAATCAAGAGCCTCTGGGCTTCGCGTCTGACGTCTTCAAATGTCACCGCGTGTTCATTGCGTGTTGGCATAGTCTTCTGAGGCGCAAGTATTTTATTAAATAAAAAAGGAACTCACGCAGCTTCTCCTACTTTAATAAATAAAAAACTGTTACTTCTGATATTTGGCACTAGTTAATCAGGAAGTGACGTTTTTGTTCTCTATGACACATCCCAGCAGGCACACAACATCATAAGACGTTAATATTAGGTTAGATTTAGGTCTTGACGTGGGGTGACCAAGTTCAACCAGCGTCTAAGGACAACATTATTTTGACGTCCAATAACAACGTCAAATTACATTGATATTTGGTTGAGGTTGTGTTGGAAAATGACCTAAATCCAACATCTGATAGATGTCATAGTGGTAACGTCCACACATCTTCAAGGTGTAACACGATTAGACGTTGATATTTAGTTGATTTTAGGTTGGACATTAACATCAACCTGCCATTGGTTCTGAAGTCAACCTGATTTTCATTTCCAAACAAAATCCTACGTCCCCACGACGCTGGCATACGTTGGGGTATAACATCAATATGACGTCCTGTTGACGTCCTGTGCCTGCAGGGATTGGATGGAAATGCTGCTTTATGCGCACGTCTTTTATGTGATATTCCAGTTTTGCTCATAAATTTTATTTGCATCTTTGGATAGAAACATTGCTACTGTTTATCTTTAGGTGAACAATTAATACCTGCGAATTAATCCAATGTAAAAAAAATGTTTTGTAATCTTCAAAGTCTGCTTTCACATTTGGAGTGGTGGTACTTCTTTGCTGATGTCATTCAACCACAATATTCTTAACCACACCCCTCTTACCGTTAGCTTGCTATGAGGGAATGATGCATAAAAAGAAAGCCCCGCCCCCTACTTAACATTTAGCTTCAATTGGATGTACATCAACATACTGAAATAAGAGGGTGTGTAACTGGGACTTTAGCATGCAAAACGTATGATGTCACCATTTTTACAATATTACATTTGTGATTTCCGTAGAGACAATAAGGGTTTAAAAAACTAGCATGTTTTAAAGTTTGCATGATCAGGCTCTAAAAATGCCGTTGTTACGTCAATGGCCTAAAAAGCAGTTTTTTGTGTTGTTGTTGACACAATTGTGGATAAACACAACCTTAATAAAACATTGCACATAATTTAATTTTAAAATATGAATATGCATAAGCTCAGTTCAGGATTTCTAACTCCAAAATCAGCTTTGAATTGCCAAAATTTGTTCAACAAAACCTCACAGGATGTCCGACGTATCTGACAGGAGGCTTAATAAAACATTAGTCACGCGATCAGAGAGATTTCTTTGTCCCGCTGTGTTAAAGAGAAATGGACAAAGCGTTAATCTGCCGGCTCTATAATTCCATGCTTCCGCTCTTCTGTCGCTTGTGACTTTTTTCAATCCCAAAAGCTTTAGTTCCCCATACCGAAAGATCAACATCCATTAAGACTTTAGGCTGGCAGATGGTCACGTTCCACACTTAAGCTTCAGTTCCACATCAGTGTTTTTACATAACAGTCCCTCTTATCGAGGATTTGGGATGCTCTTTTTGACATGCCAACTTCGCGTGGTAATTTAAATGAAATTAAAAGGAAATTAAACACATGTACCCTGAGTTAAATAACTGTTTGTAAGGCTGTCAAAACTTTCAATTAGTAGCAAGGTCAGTAGTTTCATATGGCATATACTCATAACCTAACATAGTTTTAAAGTAAATGATATAAAAATGTACATATTAAAGCTGCATTAGCATTTTTGGCTGAAGGAGAGAAAGCTCAACAGTTCAAGCTGGATTTATTTTGGCCACAAGTGAAAATAAAATGTGAAACAGTACCTTATCTGCAGAATAATTGACACCCAGACGCCTCATAACCCAGCACAACGACCCTGTAATCCTTAAAGAGTGACATTATATGCTGTTTTTTTAAACAAAAGGACAATAAGGATCTTATTGGGTCGCCATGATGCCATGTTTTATGTCATTCTTTGGATTAGGGATGTATCAATATGGAAATGTTGATACTCTTATACTGATTACATTAGGCAATATTTAGACCTATGAACAGGTTTAATTATTAGCAATTATTTTTTATATATATATTTGAAAGCCGATAATTGATATGTAGGCCAAAATTTTTACCAATATTGAAATTTGGGTTAACTAATGTAGGTATATTTGTTATTTTTGACCAATATGCAGGCTAAGAGATAGTATAAAAATTCATAAAATACTTTTTTACTGTTATACTAATAACACTTTTTTTATCTGGAAGCAGATAACCAATATATAGGCCTATAAACAGTAATCTTGATATTAACTTCCACCAATATGTAAATTTGGGTGATATTGTTAACCGATAAGCCATTATATTTGGAAACCGATAACCGATATAGGCTAATGAATACAATACAATCTTTATAGGAATTTTTCACTTAAATAAAATTTCAGGTTTGTAACATTTTTAAATTCTTTTTCTTAAAACGTATTTATAATCTCATTGTATCTGGAAGCAGATAACCAATAATAGGCCTATAAACACAAATCTTGACATTAACTTTTATCAGTATGTAAATTTGGGTGATATTGTTAACCGATGAGTCATTATATTTGGAAACCGATAACGGATATGTAGGCTAATGAATACAAATCTTTATACATTTTTAACTTAAATGAAATTGCAGGTTTCCAACATTTTAAAACTCGTTTTATTACTCTTTTTTTTTTAATCTCATTATATCTGGAAGCAGATAACCAATAAATAGGCCTATAAACACAAATCTCAATATAAATTTTCCTTAGCCTAAAATGCAAACAAATAATGTCATTTGTAAAGTTCTGTCCTGAGGCCATGAAGCCAGTGCCACTCTGACCTGTCCGTGCACTGCTATCGATAGTTTGACTGACAGGTCCTATTCTTGTTAATCTTGACAAATTCTGAGTAATCTTGGTAGTCTTGGTAATTCTTGGTAATCTCCACATCTCCGCATAATGAGATTATCAACCTGCATGCTGATTTGTTCCATCTTTCTCAACTTTCCTTATCATTTAATTGTAACACATCATTCTCTTCGGAAGACTCTGAACACGAGCTGCTCTGTGTTAATGGAGCATGTCTACCCTGTGGTGGTGTGCCAATGGGATACGGTGATGGCGCACATGGCCCAGGTGACGCTGCAACCAAATGATTAATGACTTTCTGTGCCACTGCAGGTGGAGGCTTGTCCGGGAGCCAGCTCATTCACACATGCCCTGCCTTCTGTTTCCGAAGGGCACCAGCTACTGCTAACTAATCCATCCATCTCAATTCCCAAAGAGTGAACACTCTTAAAAATAAAAAGGGAATTTCTATAGTGAGTCTGTTGAGAACTATTATGAGTTCCACAAAGAACCTTTCACTGAAAGAGAACCATTTTCTGAAAATATAATTTCATTGTAAAGCATCCAGCATTTATGGAGGTTAGAGGTTTTTCATAGAGCCACCAATGCCAATAGAAAGCTTTATTTTTGAACAGTGCAAAGCTTCATTCAGAAATTTTACAGTTCTCAATTGTAATTGATTTAAAACTTACCCTCAGCCAATAAAAACAGCTACTATTTAATGAAATAATAAATTATAAATGATACATTTGCTTGACACATTCTGATTTAAAACACTTAATAGTAGCAGAGCTGAGATCAGAATCAGAAATCAATAATAAAAGTCTAAAAACACATTGTCATGACATGAATATCAGATTTTCTTTCATATTTTAGTCTTTTTCTCTTTCGTACCTGGCATGCAGCCCATCTCCTGTGGCCAACTTGATGAACCCTTGGAAAGCATCTTGCTGGAGGAATCATCGCAATCACATTTGCAGGATTTTCCAGCCCATGTATCGTTGCTTTCGCCATCCTGAGCACACATCAATATTAAATACAATTACTGTAGTTTAATTACTTTTAATATCAATATTAAACGTTTTAATTACCGTTTGTGCCTGCAGACCAAGAAAACCTATGGAAAATGTTGGAGAGTAAAGAAATATTATTAATATTTATTATTATTATTTTAATTGATATGATTTAATGCAGATTATTCAAATGCATAAAAACTTTTTTTTGCAATATATTTATAATTAACATTTTTATTTAATCTTTTTTTTATTATTATTAAATACTGCCAATGAAGTGAAAATACTCAACAGCACATACCTTGAGACACCAGCAGGATGGCTAACAGTAACGTGTTCTGCAGTCTGTACTCCATGATGTTTATTTTTCGAGTGGTGGACCACCGCACTGATGTTAAAGGGGCTGGATTACTGTAATCCACAGAGCCCTAATGGCCTTATCTAATGCCCTTTATCTCAAAGCTCCTCCCTTGACTGCAGAAAGCTAGTTTAGAAATTGTTCATATCCCAGTCCGACTGTTGTCTGTTAAAAAAAGAGAGAAATAGCCAAATGATCGCAGATTATAAAGCCGGACGATCACCTTCTGTGACCCACTTAATGGTTCATTGCATGCAATTAACTCAATTCAACTTCCCAGGCAATCTGTTGATGCACATTGCTACATACAATATGCCGTTTGATGGAGAACTGAAATGAAGGCTGGTTTCTTTAGTCTTTTTCTTTCTTTTCGAGGATTTATTTTTGTAATTAATGCTACTATGAAATATTTTTTTATTATTTATTATGTTCTTTTTTGTGTCTGAAGGCATTATGAAAGATGTCAAATATATATATATATATATATATTTTTTTTTTGGTTATTTAATGCTATTACCCAGGATATTTTATGGTTGAAAGTGTTTTTTTTTTTCTTTTCGTTTGAATGTCTCTTCTGCTTACTAAAGCTACATATAGGCTACCTGAGCAAATGTGCATGTACACTGACATGTGTTTGCAATGAAATAATACAAGCTAGAATAAACAGCAGTTGGGTAGACATTATTATTTAATTGTTATTAATTACAGCAGAATATACATTATAAACGCTGTTGAAGTCAGACATGCCTGGACTTAAATTAAATAACGTTTAGGGTGCTTTCCCCCTCACTTGTACCCTAAAGAGAACACACAGAGACAAATAGTCCTCATAAAAGACATAGAAAAAAGTGCTGAGTGAGTGGTGGTCATTTTGTTTGTGCTAAATGTTAAAGGAAAAGCAAATCATTCAGTTTTACAGACTTAATCGAGTGTATAGATGCAGGTTCTAGACTGAATCTGTGGACTTTTATAGCATTTTCTTTGCTGGGTGGAATTAATATGAGAGATTCACATGGTAAAATTACAAATTGAACACAAGTGTAACATCTGGATACGATTTTTATGGAAATGTAACATGGAACACAACAATCTGGAACATTTTATATGAGAAAAGTGATAACATTTTCTTTCACGGAAATGTTCCAAACCCACAGCTAGTGTTCCACTTGTGTTCCACATGTGTTTTACTTGTGTTTCACATCCGTTCCACTTGTGTTCAACATTAGTTCCACAAGTGTTTCACATGCGTCCACCTGTGTTCCACATGCGTTCCACTCGCATTCCAATTGTGTTCCACATGGTTCCACTCACATTCCACTTGTGTTCCACATTTGTTCCATTTATAATTTTAAACTTACGTTTTTTTTCTGTAGGTGTCAAGTAATGTAAAAGTAACTTAAAGCAACATTTAAAAGCCAATTATGTCATAAACGAACATGCAAGCTGTGAAAAACTTTGCTGATTCTCTGTGGGCCAAGTAACCTAAATGATGGCTGTTGTCTAAATGGAAAACTGTTTGCCTTTTTTTTTTTTTTTAACAAATACAGTATGTTGTTCATATCAATCCTGTCAAGCAGAAAGAGCAAGGACACAATTCAACAATAGACCTTAAATCAGGAAACAGGATTCAAACAGACTCAGCAAAACAGTTCAACATCTAATAGGAACAGTCTTGACATTGAAACAAAACCTTAAAACTGATCTAAGTACATTCTATGACAGATTCAGACATCATACTACTAAAATAAAGAGAACGACAGACAAAACAGATGCTCATCTGACAGAAAAATAACCCTCTTCTGTTCCTGATAGATTGTAAACCTTTGGCCTTTGCAATGGCTTTAGTTGGCACAACTGCTATAGATGGAAATATGCGTAAAGTAAAAAAGACTGATGATCATGAAAGATGCAATCTGACCACTGGGTCTCACAGTACATTCGTATGTAGACATCAACATTTGTCTAATGGTAAACTGACAGAAGCGATAAATACATTCTAACTGGATACAGCTTCTAGTCATCGCTAAGCCACAGGAATATGCAAATATGAAGATGTCTAATGAATGGTTAATCTTTTCTGTGCACTTCTGGGGATGAACCTGAATGTTTATATCCCTGCATTCAACAGCTCAGATCCTGGAACGCTCACGGCATCCTCTTTGGATGATAGATGCTTCAAGCCAACATAAGACAAGCTGTCTATGGCTATTAAACCATGACAGATGAGTTGACAGTACCTGCAGGTATCCTTCGGTATGGCAGTGAACCAAGAAACAAGCAAATTACCTTCACAGTCTCCTTCACATACATTTAAGGCAGTCAAAAACCCTGCTTATTAAAAACACAGTCCAACGTATTAGTCATTCTTAAAATATGAACTCGACTTCACCTACATTACTGTTCAAAAGTTTGGGGTCTGTAAGATTTATAAATGCTCTTGACACAGCTCACAAAAGGTGCATTTATTTGATCAAAATTACAGTCAATGTCTAAATATTAATAATAAAACAATGTAATAATATATTGTCATATTATGACAGTTTGAATGAATTGTTATCTATTGTACTATATTTTTAAAAAGTACTGGGTCGAAGCTGAATGGACATCCGCTGTGTAAAACATATACTGGATAAGTCAGCGGTTCATTACGCTGTGGCTGTCCCTGATGAATAAAAGAACTTAGCTGAAGTTAAATATATGAAGGATTTTATTCACTAAAGCAGCTCACATTAAACCTCAGAAATCATTAATATGTGAATTTAGAGTTACTCTGCTCGTTTAGTGTTAAATTTCTGAGCAGCATGAATAAATACTAGAGTAAATTATAGCAAATACATAATGTTTTGAACCATACCACAGTAAAGTACTAAAATTAAGTAATTTTATAATTGCAACAACTATAGTTATAGAAATTATTATAATATAGGTTATACTATACTATACACCATAGTTAACTATAGTAAACACAGTAAAAAGTATATTGCAGTATTTATTAGTTTATCAGTTCACAATACTACAGTATACTATACACTGTAAAAAAAATCCATAATTTTATGGTTTACTTCTGGCAGCTGGAGTTGAATTACAGAAATTTCTGTAATTTAAGTTCATTATTTTACGATAAAGATTTTTTACGATGTAATAACACATCCTTAAGTTTTTCAGTTTAACAGTAAATCATCCATAAAGGCTCATCCTGGTACCACTGCTAATAAACAAACCTTATTTTTCTCTTCCACATGAGAGCTTTCAGTGTTTTGATTCAGATGTTTTATGAAATGAATGCCTATTGCCAATAATAATAAATATAAAATATTATTGAAAATATAGAAAAATGTAATAAATATTTAACATCTTGCATTGTTGAGTTGCTTTTGAAACATTTGATGGAGCTAAAATTTAAAATGGAAATACTGTTTATTTTTATTTTTTTTTTTTTTACAAAAATAAAGGACAAAATAAAAAAATAAAGGCCAGTAAATCTAGCAAATATTGTTGTGTTATTTTCTTCCCTGGTAATGGGGTCAACATGTTTAAAGTGAAAATATTATGAAGATGTTCTATATTTGTTAAAATACCACCCTATATTGATAGATCACACTTATGAGTTAGTGACCAAATCAAAAATATATTTCTGTCTAAAACTTTATCCTTTAAAATAGGTACTTTCAACCCCGCTCTCCTCTGTTTTAAAAACACTATAGTATTTACTATAAACCGATGATATAGTATTTTCAAATGGAACTTTTAATAAAACAGAATGTATTTGAAACTGTATTATTATATTTACTGCCACTTTTGATCAATGTATTGCATTCTTCCTGAATGTTTAAAGAGACTGTGTAGATTCAGAAAACTTTGTTTTTAGCGACACCAATGGTCGTTTAGTGAAGTGCAGCTGAAAAAATATACACGAATGAATGTGTATTATAACTGTACGAGCGCGCGCTTTCCTCAAAACAAACAGGCAAGTGTAAGCGATGAGAAAGCCGTCAAGAAAGTTATTCACCGTTATCATGTCAGCAGATGAGGTAGGTCTAATTAGGATTATACTGTGGCAATAGTTCGATTATAAAATATATCAGACGTTAATAATACACACACTTAACGATGCTATTTAGCGCGAAAAACAACCCTCGGGAAAATAAGCCATACTTTTACTACAAATAAAACCAAAAATACCATGATTATCTCATTAAACTTTGATTATCACACACACTCAACATGGTTTTACTGCAGTAACCAAAGTTTAAACATGGTATTTGTAGTAAACGACTGTTAAACCAATGTGCCAAAAAACAAAACATGGCTACTTCACTTTTTGGGGAGAATGTCTGAGGAGGAAACTGAAAACTGGTCACAATTAAGCTGTAAAATTGAAGTGTTAAAATAGCAGGAATCAAACAATGAAACGGCATTCTAGACAAGTTAACTTTACAAATGGACACACTTGTACATAATCTGATTATGCAAGACTAGTTTGAATTGGTCCCTTATGTTTTTATGTAACATTAGCGATACAAGACAGAATGATAAAACCAATCGGAATACAGTATACCGTATACTCTGTGCATTATCAGCATTTGTTTTTATGTGTCGCTGAATGAAAGACACATCACATCCTATTAAGCAATTTAAAATATAGTGCCTTTAATATATATATATATATATATATATATATACACACACACAACACACACACACACACACACACACATATATATATATATATATATATATATATATATATATATATATATATATATATATATATATATATATATATATGACAGACCCCAAACTTTAAAACTGTATTGAACAGTATATTCACCCTATGTCACACAACCATCAGGCTCTATTTTGACAAAAATGTTGACAGATGCAGCCCTTCAAAGACCACTTTTCTATGTTAGCGCTTAAAACTGAATTTTTATGAGATGTGGTATGCATTGCCCTGATCTTCTGTTTGCATGACTCTACTCCAGACAAATTGAAATAAAAACATTTAAAA